ACACACACACACACACACACACACACACACACACACACACACACACACAGTAATAAAATCTAAATAAAATGAAAAATAAAGAAAACATGAATGCTTGAGGACATTGTTATATTTAATCCAATTATAATATTCCACACTGTATCTAAATATTAGATAGTACTACATAAACTTGCACAGTTTTTAATAAGTTTTTGGGGTTTCTGTAAAAAGTAATTTAGATTTGAAATAGTGAGGAAAGGAAGAAAGAGAAGAAGACAGGAAGACTCACAAGCTAGGAGCCATGATTGGAAGAAGGATGGCAAGAAGGAAGGAAGGAAGGAAGGAAGGAAGGAAGGAAGGAAGGAAGGAAGGAAGGAAGGAAAGAAAGAGAGGACAAAAATGAGCCAGGAAGAAGGAAGGAGGGAATAAAGTCATATTCTTAAAGATTCTCATTGTTATATTGATTACATATTTCACCCATCTTCCTGTAGATAATATAAAGCCATAATTATTTTATAAACTAAAACTGTGCACTGTTTACTTTATTTGAGTTGATGTCAGATACATAAGCATCTGTTAGGATTTTTGTATGTAGTAGATACTAAACACTAGGAAGAACTTTTGTTTTGTTTTGTTTCTAAGACATTGAGGAACTATGAACCATGAAGTTAGAGAACTGCTATCACAAAAATGCTAAGAATTCTCTAAAACAAGCACAGTCAGAACCACAATGAAGAGTTGACTTTATCTCTAGCTGTTAATGCAGAGTGACAACTCAGAAACTAACAGAGGTTGCTGATGGATTTCAATTTTCAAAACACTCACTCGTAAGCAAACCAGTCAGTATCGCCATTGGAAGTGCACACTCGAGACCTTTGGTTGTATCTGTCCTTTTCAAACTTAAGAGGCAAACCACTTCTTTTTTTTCCACGTGGTATATAATATTTTAATATTATATGTGTTAAATTGAGGATTTTGTCATTAGAAAATAGAGATAACAACTGAGAATAGCCCTTGGGCTGTCCCAAATGGACTTCTCAGATAACAGCAAGGATCCATTATTTTAAAGATTCTGTCTTTATCTCGATTTTCATTGCTGAATCTGAGACTCATAGGTATTGTTTCTACACTTCCTGTATGGAGTTTTCTGAACTTCTTTTTGTAGACTGATGTCTTTAGTCAATTTTATCTATTAATCTCGTCAAATGCTTTCAGCCCCGTCATCTCTGTGTCCTAACTGCAGGTTCGCATGTGCTGGGATATTCAATGAATTTTTTGTGCTATTCTCTTTTTCTTTTTTCCCCCTGCCTTTGTACTTTAGTTGGGATAAGTTCACTGTCAGCGGATTTCCACTTCCATTATGTCTTTTCTGTCATGTCCATTTATACCCCAAAGTACATCTCATGATTTTTGCCATGCCAAATAATTTGTGTCTGCAATAAACACTTTAAAGTTTTCTCCTGAAGCATTAGATTCTTTCCTCTAATCTTGATGTTAATAATATAAAATCTTTGCTCTTCCCAGATTCTGTTCATGCTTGGATTGGTGTTCACTGGCCAGGGCTTCACATCCCTTCTTGTGGTTTCATGCCATACGGCAGACTTTGTGTGTGAACAAACTGTAGAGAATGAAATAGAAAATACCGATTCCCTCATCAAAGGCTGACCTCCATGATCACATCAGAACTGAGCTGAGTTGGAGCTGAATTAACTTTAGTTAATTTGAATGCCCCACTGAGCCCATAGATTTAAGTTATAAAAGGCCCCTGCTTCCATTTGGGTTTGGGAACCAACTGCATTCAACTTTTGATCATGTTTTGCTCTCCAGTACTGCTACAGGATTTCTGAAGCACTGAGGAGCTCTGCCTCCATACCTAGTACTTGTGAAGACCCTAGAATTGGTCTACAGTAATGACTCACTTCTTTTTTTCTTACTAAACAGAGAATTTCCCTGATTCATTGTGGTCGGTGCGGCTTGAAGGTATAAAGCCCGTCACTTCTCTCAATAATGCTGTACTGTTCATTGTTTTCATAAGCATAGAAGGAACAAACATTTATTCCTACCCTTGAAGTTCTGGAAGCAGGCTGAATCACTCTCACCAATCCTCTCTGCGTAATTAAATGCATGATGTTTCAGTACACAATAACAAACACATATTTAAATTGTATAATAAGAGCAAATAATACGGAATATTAAGTGAAATGCACATGCTCACATATCCTTGTGTGTGTGTGTTCATGTGTGCACATATTCGTATTCAGCACAGCAGTGACCTCTGGGTTGTCAGGCCAGACTCTATACAATATTCTCCTCCTTATTTTAGCTGAGGTCCCAGTGATAGAAAACTGCTTAGAATTCCCTCATTCAACCTACTTACCCTTTGTCTGCAAAGCCAATTCTTAGAAGTGACTCAATTTCCTTTCTTTTGATGTCTTGGTGTGTCTTTGTTTGACTCGATATATATTATTTCCTCAATTGTCCATTGAGATTTCCACATAGCAACCAGAAATATATACTTCATTCTCCAAAGACACAATTAGAGTTCGCTTAGGGTTTGGGGATAATGTATCATTTAGGGTATAATCAAAGAAATGGTGCTCTAATAAAAACTGAGTATATGCAACTAAGTCACAATCTAAGCATAAAATGTCTGATGATAGAACTTTCCCAAATTATGGTACCCAGAATTTATAAAATACAATGTTCTAGATGTTTTAATTGCCATCCTTTTTTGAACAGACTACCATTCCTCTGTAGTTTTTTTTTCATTTTTTAAACTTTTATTAATTACACTTTATTCATTTTGTATCCCCCCATAAGCCCCTCTCTCCTCCCCTCCCGGTCCCACCCTCCCCCCCTTTCTGCATGCATGCCCCTCCCCAAGTCCACTGTAGGGGAGGTCCTCCTCTCCTTTCTGATCTTAGTCTATCAGTTCTCATCAGAAGTGACTGCATTGTCAGGGTTCTAGGTTATCTCCACGGATAGTCCTTGGTTGGAGTATGAGTCTCTGGGAAGTTCCCTGTGTTCAAATTTTCTTGTTCTAGAAACTGACTCATGTCTTCTCCACTAAATATGGTGAGGTCATGACTTCCAGCACCTTCTAATAGAGCTTATTATGAGATAAGGCCGTTAGGGTTGTGGTTGATATTAAAGGAGGTAGTGAGTGGACTCTCATTTAAAGATTTGTTAAACAAAAAGAACCAGAGACATGAGTAAAAACAGACGTCACGTGTGAACATAGAATAGAGGCATCATCTTCAAGGTAGGCAGGGAGACTTCAGAAGAAACAGGTCTTTCAAGATCTTGGACTTGGACTTTTAGCCTTCAGGGCTCTGAGAAAATAAATATTTGTTAATCTGCCTACTGTTTACTGTTTTGGTCTGGAGTAATTTATTATTATTTTTTGTTTTTTAATTTTAATTTTTATATTAACTACAGTTTATTCACTTTGTATCCCAGCAGTAACCCTCCCTCATTCTCTCCCAACCCCACCCTCCCTCCCTCATCTCACCCATGCTCCTCTCCAAGTCCAAAGATATGGAGGTCTTTCTCCCCCTCCATCCAATCCTAGCCTATCAGGGCTCATCAGGACTGGCTGTATCATCTTCCTCTGTGGCTTGGTAAGGCTGCTCCCCCCTCAGGGGGAGGTGATCAAAGAATCAGCCACTGAGTTCATGTCAGAGACAGTCCCTATTACCCTAACTAGGACATCCACTTGGATACTAAGCTGCCATGGGCTACATCTGAGCAGGGGTTCTAGGTTATTTCCATGAATGGTCCTTGGTTGGAGTATCAGTCTAAGAAAAAAAACCCTGTGCCCAGATTTTTTTGGTTCTGTTGC